AACACTGCGGGACTTTTCTGCGGGAATTTTCTGGTTCATGATTCTCTCTTATGTCCAGACTCCTTCCATCTGGTGGCACTGGTCTGGGTTACTCTTTTAAGGCGGTCCATGGCCAGCGGAGCTTTTTGGCTTGCAATTGGGCTGTGCTTCAACAACTTGAGTTGGATGTCCAAGAAGTTGTTGCATCGTGCAAAAAGCATTCTTGAAAGATTGTACCGTATCTTTTCATCCCGAGCGTCAGACCCGTCTTGTTTGGAATTGTGGGGGAATTGTCTGTAATGGGCCACTAGAATACGTGTCTTTGTGGTGCTCTAAATGATTTACACACTCTAATACCCTGTGAGCAGCTGCAATTCGCTTGCCAGCCAAGGTGTACTATGTTGGCAGGCTTTTTCAAAAGTTGCGTGTAAATCTGACCACGAATCTCTGTAGACACCTCTAGCTGTCTAAAGAGTTCAAGCTTTGAGGGCCGATTGCTTACCCTTAGGCTAAAGTTCCAGGCTGAACGAAGAGAAATTTCAAAGTTGGCCCAGGCAGAAGTTTCAAAATCGCTGAGCACCTGTGTGCCTTTTCCAGCATGCTGTGGTTGAAGCAGAGAGCAAGTGTCGAGCCACCTTTCGTGTACGATAGTGGCCAGCCTCAGCAATCTCCAATTTCAGAGGCTGATGAAGACGATAGCGACAAAGAGACCCCCATCACGCCTTCAGACAGCTCGGGAATCATAAGGAGGGGCGCTCGCGCGCAAAGCGCAGGTGAAACTCGAGGCCCGAAGGGCTTGAAGCGGGACAGGTCTGCAGCTGGTTTGAGCGACACTCTGAGAGCAAACAACGCAGACACGAACAGTATGCTTAGAGATTGTGAGCAGCTGAAAGATGCTCGTCATCAGGAGATGAAAGCTCTGAAAGAGAGGGAGCTCAAGCTGGAGGAGGAAAAGTTGAAGGTGGTTGAGAAGGGCGCGGAGACGGCGGCCCATACGGGCCAAGGGTTGATAGCAGCTTTGGGGGACTTGGCCAAGGCCGTCATCGTGTTGGCCAATAAGTAGGCATTGCAGAAGTGGTGGTTGAGTAATAATAATGATGTACTTTGTTATTATTTATTGAATCATCCTTTGCAGGCTTACTGCCAACTTTTGGGTACAGATGCATGAGCACTCAATGTCATTTGCACGATCAAAGTGGTGATCGAATAAGGAAAAACACCAGTCTAAGGCAATGTGACTTTCCATGGTGCTTTGTATTCCATCCCCCTGTTGAACAGTACATTACCTAGATATACTAAGTGCTCTGCTTGTGATTGGCGGCGTCTCTTGGCTTGTGCAAAAAGGAAGATGGTTCGATTCCTGCAACCCCGGGGTTGGAGGCTTGCTTAATGGGCTCGAGGGTTAAAAGATTGGGCTAGGTGGCAGTGGGTCTACTATTCGTTTTGTCGATGCCAACTTAGACATATGGCTTTAATTTTAAGTTCGTCAACATGATAAGCTAGCCGGTCAGGCATATGAATAAATGGATGGTCGGGCGGTCACTATTGTGGGAAATAGGGGGAGATAGAAAGGGTTCTCTACACACGCCACTCTCTTTATGCTTAGGGCCGTTTACAGAAGATGTTGTTCTTCTCGGTCACAAGTTCGAAAAGAATCGTGGTCACTTATTTGACTCAGTGAGTTCTAAACAAGAAAGCATGCATTGCTAAGTTCCTTATACATGTATGTATGATCGCTCAGAACCCGTTCTAGTGAGTCCTGTGCACATGCATCCAATATCTACTTGCCTGTCCTGCAGCCGCCTCTGTCGCTCCTTCTTGACATGCCTTCAAATTTGGCGTCGCGCCCATATGTGTGATTTCCACCAACCCGAATTCGCCATGTTCAATCTCGTTTTTAAAAAGAAAAAGAATATCATCAATTGTCGTTCTGTGCAGGCTCCAGCTTGCGGGTTCCTTGCGGTTGCATCCGATGTTCTCAGGCTCTTGCAATAGGCTCCAGTGCGTGAACTCTATAACGATGTTGCCAGTGGCCGCTAGCCAAGTTGGAGCTACACGTGACAAAAACTTCATGACAAGTACTATGCGCCTCAAGTTCCAACTGGTGACGAGTCAGCATGTTCGTATGCGAAGAGAATGTACACATACTGCTGAAGTTATTGATTCCATGTATACGATTTATAGCAAACCATTCGCGCGTGCTGCATGCATGTGTTTCTTCTTAACGCGCCCCCGGAAAGACATGAATAGCATGCTGGCTCTTGGTAATAAGCTTTGACGTAAACACTCGTGCTCGGATTGACGACTCAACTCTTTTGATGCTCACTGAACGAAGATTGTTATACAGAACATGATCCATAGATCCGTAGCAATTAAATGAGATATACTGTACATGCTCATGGTCAGATTATTGGTAGGTTGCCTGCATACTACGATTTAGATGCATGACCGCTAAACAACATTCCAGGTAGACAATTTTGTTGGATATTGGCTTGTGACTTGTGACTTCTTCAGCGTCTGATTTCAGAGAAGTATGAGATTACAAAGTCAGACTCTCTCACTTAAATACTCGGCAATGGCACCTTTGATGTCGAGTGCCCGTTCGATGTTGCCAGCGCCCGTCGCAACTCTTACGGAACCACCTAGCACCTCTTGCCCTGCGTCCGGATCTGGTGCTCTAGCAGCACGTTCCATACCGTCGCCCATGTCTATCCTCAGATTGTGCAGCGTGCAACAAGCTACTACATAAATAGGCAGCCGTGCCACGTTGGGCTTCTGAATCCGTGAGAGGAGATATCGCTGAACCCCTTTCAACTCTCCGTTGATCTGTTCGATGCACATGCGTGTACTGGAGTGCTTGAAGTTGAAACCAGCTTGAGTCGGATTCAGATTCTGACCCGGGAACGGAGTCAAGAGCCACGGCTGCAGTGAGTAGCCAGCATCCGCCACGAGCATTGGAGGTACCTCAATCCCATTGACATTGACGGAAGGACCCCCAAGAAAAGCCTCCGTGTTTGTGGTGAGCTTCGAGTTGAAGAGGACACGTGAGTCGTGGACAGACCCAGGATAGCCCACGTTCACATTGAGGATGCGATGTTGTTGCTGCGAGCATAAGAGAGCAGGAGGTTGCAGAAGACCCTTCAGATCAGCAATGTTCTTTCATAAAATTCGACCGACAAGAAACGCAGCACAAAGCAATCCTGTCTCTTTCCTTTCTAAGCCTTGAAAATGGGTTGGAATCGGCACTGTCAAGCAGCAAGGATATGAGTATCTTCAAATTTTGAGCCCATCCACGAGACAAGTCAGTTTCCAAATCCTTCAACACAGACCAGACACTCCCTACCAATGGAGACGCTCTAAATGGCTCTTCAGAAATAGTCAGCTTCATAGGGATATGCATATTTGGAAAGGCGAAGTTGCTTGGGTGTTTGAGGCCTAGCCAGTCATGCACTGAAACAGAAGTTCCTGTCAAAGCACTCTTCACATTCTCTTGCGTATTCAAAAGCACCAGATAGATTGTGGCTGTAGAGTGCGAGCACCTCTCGACCAACAGCAGCACTTTTTTACCAGAGGCTCGAAGCTGCACAGCCTCAACCAACCATGTATGTACCCCAGGAAAGGTCCTCGCTAGGTAACACCCTTGTCAGCATGGTTGGCAGCTTGCAAAGTAACTTTCAGCACCCGTAAAGCTAAACCAGAACAGTCTGAGGTTTGCTGAGATACTTACATCTCCGACCAACTGCACCACAGTACTGTAGTTGTGATCGCGATCGAAGTAATCTGTTGTCAGGTACCCTGCCGGCGCGTCGTGATTGATGTGGGTGCAGTCAATCGCTCCCACGCAGTTTGGAAGGCCATGAACAGCCTGCATCTGAGCAATAGCAGCTGCGCGTTCTTCTCCTGCTTGAGGCCACCTGATCCGCAGAGGAGCTTCAATTGCAACTATTGCCTGAGAGACTCTCCAGAGTACTTTGCTCACAGTACTCTCACCGATGCCAAACAGTTCGCCAACCCCAAAATTAGACACCCCATGGCCAAGCTTGTAGAGGGCCACCGCAAGTTGCTTTGTCACAGACAAGAGTCTGGTGGGGATACTTCTTGCCAAACTTGCTGGAGGTGCTTGTTGGAGACGTTCACCTAATGATTGTTCTAGGTACAGGAAAGTCTGTCTATTGGTCCGAAAAAGCCTCTTCCATCGCTCGTCGTCATAAACGTTCTGTACAAAGTTTTCAAACCACGTCATCGAGCGTGGCTTTATGTACCATTGCCCAACGTTCATGCCAAAGAGTTGAACATTTGTTAGGAGCCCCTCTGCGCAAAGAGCAGCAGCTGCTGCTGCAGCATCCTCCATCTGTGCGTTGAGGGCTAGAAGGACATTGAGATTGTCATCTTCATCATCTGGATAGTAGAGGGGGTCATCTAGTGTGTGAGCCACACGACCCGCAAGAATGTCTGGAACAGAGCACATGACAGTGCCATGGATAGCTGCACTGTGCAAGCAGCACGCCTGCAGTAGTCACCGCCAGAGTTGTGATAGCTGACTGCTCCATGATTTCCGCCGCCCTCAGCTGGTTCTGATCTTGCTGCGACCCTCTTTGCGAAAGCATCCACCAGTCTCCAGATCTTGCAGCTGCGCCTGGCTGGAGCGATACTCTGTCCGGTCGGCAGGGGTGCCGCGCACTGTACAGCCTCGGCCGGCTGCCGCGATGCCGGCCGGCGCCGTTCACGGTTTAGCGGAACAGTACACGGAACCGCATGTGATGGCAATTCCGCTACAAATGGGTACCACATGCTTCCGGGAAGGCTCCGTCAGTTCTTAGCGGAAACGGTCGCATGGGAAGCACCCCTTAGTTAGTTGTGTTCGAACTTGGGTGTCTAGATAATCCTGTCTGGCTTGAATTCCCGTCCGCTGGCTTTGTCATCTAATTCTCTCACATCGTGACGGCCGAAAAGCCACTTCTCCGCAACTTGCGGCCAAGGAAGTCCTGAAGACCGTACGATGAATCAAAATTAGCTGACACAGCCAGGGGACGGGTTGTTCAAGCCAGACAGGATAATAGACTCTACCTGAGTCTTTGAAGTTTGAGTCTTGCATGCCAAGTGTTCCTAGCTTTAGGAAGCGATTTGCCATTTCCGATTTCGCATGTTTGAGAGAGGCAACTGTGATCAGCTGACGGTTACTTCAAGGACATGGCTCTCTCACAGGTGTCGAGGTTGGGGGCTAGCTTCAAGCCCTTTCATCCGGTGAAGATGGAGGCGAAGCCAGATGTAAGGTTCACAATATGTCCATCAAAACACCTGTGCCTGCTGGCTTCTCCCTGGCTTCTCTGCCTTGCTTGTCTCTCCCTGGCTACCCGCTCAATGTTTAATCCAGTAAACGGTGTGGTGCAGCTTTTGTTCAGATGCATTTCCCCTAACAGACAAACGAAACGTCTTTTGATCAAGCTTGTTGTCCTGAACAGGCTTCAAGAGGAGCACCTAGGGTGCCTGTTCTTCAGCCGGGTATGTAGGGGAGGGTTGTTAAGGGGAACCTTTGTTTGCCATCCACACCTTTGCTTTTCAGAGATCTACAAAGCGATCGCTTCATATTGAGGATGGGTCGATTGGTCTTTGCAGAGCTGATTGCACAGGTTACTGGGCCTTTTCTACTACTATTGTTTACGTCACTCATTCTTCACTTTTTGAAGGCAGCAGGTCATGATTGAACTTTGTTGTTTCATTCTGCAGCCCGGGAAGGTTCGAGTGTTCCGTGCTCAGGCCTCGGTCAAATCTCAGGTGAGGACTTTTGAACAACCCTATCCATATCTTACTGAGCCCCATCTTGATCAGGGATCGAGCTCGCTTCTCTGCTGATCTGCTTGAGTAAGCTTTGTGTTGGCGTAAGACTGCCAGTGGCCAGTGGTTTCATGCTGTATACAAATTGCTCAGCCCTTGGCAAGGGCCCTCACCTGTCTAACCGTTGTGCAGAACGACGAGCTGGAGGAGAACATCTACAGAGCCAAAGTCAAGTCGCAGGAAGAATTTCTGGAACGTTGCCGGTTGAAAGTGGAGCGGCTGCCAGAGCAGACGCAACAGGACCTGAAAACGATGATGCAGGTTGGCTTACGTGGCCTTTCCCATCCTCTGTCCTCTGCGCATGTCATCACCATTTTATGTGACATTGTGGCCAAAAGCATCAATCTTGTACGAGGCCCTCTCTGAATCCGCGACTCGTTGATCCGTCTCCTGCTCCGCTGCTTTGTTTGCCTCAGCTAACAGAAAAGCACTGGGTAATTGTGAGCTCATCAGTTTGGGAACGTCGGCACAAGCTTTCCAAAGATAGATTTTTCTTCTGCAGGGACAGAAGCAGAAAGCAAAAGCTGGAAGAAGATCTTTGAAGAGAACGACAAGCTGTGCCGCGCTCATCAAGCAGCATTCAGAAGAAGCGGCGGAAGTGTCCTGAAAATTTTGTATCTTGATACTCTAGCGGTTGAGGTGAGTGGTATACCTGTCCCATTTGTGTTTGTTTTTGTTTAGGTCTTGGAACATCAGTTGACCTAACCATTGATCTTGGTGATAAAGAAGGGAGTGTAATCTTTACTCAAATAGAATTACTGCCTTTTTCAGGCGGTTTGGATAGAGGGGGATGAGTTGTTCTGCATATGCTGATAGGAATGAAGGGATGACTGAATAAGGGAAATGAGTTCTTCTGCATATGCCGAGACAGGTAAAGGGGTAGCTGGAAAAGGGAACCAGGGAAGTGAAATGTTCTGCATATGTAAGAGAGATAAAGGGGTGACGAGTCAAGTTTTTGGATTGCTGTGGTTGTCATCAGGTTGAAGCAAAGTCGTCTTTTCCTTTTCCTGAGCGGCTTTTGTAGATGACTTGGACAGTACAACGTGCTTACTACTTTCTTTCTCGCGCTGCAGGCACTGTTGGCATGAGAGAACCCGACGGAATACATATTGACTTCTGCATTTGAGACGGTCCTTACATCCGAACTTAGTCTTACACAGGCAGTGCAGTTCTGGAAGCTCACCTCTGACCTTCTTGTACCTGCGGATGGACTCGAGCTCCTCCTTTCAAAGATCAAGACTCTTCGTGAGCCGATGGCCGAAGAAACAGAGCTGTGTCCATTGTCTTACTACCCACCCCCCACAGAAGGTGTGAGCATCATTCTTAGCGCGGTACAGAAGCGAAACCTCCAGCTAGGGTTCCGGCAGGGTGTAGACCTCGAGACTGCGATTCAGCTTGCGGAAATCTATGGCCGGCACCTGCACTTTGACGTTAGATCGGAGGAGGTTCGGGGCATCCTCTTGCAGGCAGGCGTGAGAAAGAAGAACTTTGTACACTTTGCATAAAATGTGTCTCTTGTACAGACTTGCTCTTAAGCATCAAACGCCTGGTTATCAACAGTTCCGGATAATTAACGACCAGGCCTTTCACCGCATCCTAGATCGAGTCCCCCATTCTGGAGAGCCTCACCAGGACTGGTCTTCTTTTTACTGTCAACTCAGCAGATGCCACGAATTCGATCGCCTCTTGCTTAATTTGGCTCAGCTTTGCCCAAATTCTGAGCGGCAGTGCATGTGGCTCGGAGTCTGATTTTTGTTGGGAAGTGGTTCAAAGGGGGAACTATACCTATGATTAGCATGGATCCCATCCCTGCACAATGTCGCAATGTTCTGAAGGGCCTGCCAGGAGTTGGTAGTACCTGATTCAGGTGGCAATTAATCATGTCATGGTGAAGCTTCATTTAGAAGAGATCTAGAGTGTAAACTTAATAGTGGTGGATTGTCAAGCGGCCGGCTAGCTGCATCCAAGGCTAGGTCCAGCCCTCTTGCACCATGTCACATGAATATGGTCATCAATCTGATAAGTGCCAATGTTAGTACAATAATGAAGTATGTTGTGCAATTCGGTACATGTGTATTAAGCTGGCAAATACTTCACAATTGCATTGGTCGTGAATGTATATACATAAGGATCTGCAGAACCGCAGGATGTTTGAGGCATAGCATGCAAGAAAGAAAACCCTGACCACAATTCGCAATGTTCTGAACACTTGTGTGTAATCAAGAACCTGTGGAATTGCGAAACATATTATATCTGCCATGCAAGAAGCGGCCAGCAAATACTCGAAAATGAATTCATTCCCCTTATAAACGTCTGATTTACTATGCTTTGCCTTTTATATCTCCGCCTTACAAGCCTTTTACCATCGCTGTGTACACACGAGCAGTCATCGCAAGCTTCCGGATCTATCACACCTCTCTGCACGGCTCAGCCTCTATGTAACCTTTCAAAAGCTAAGGTCATCAGAAGCAGCGCGAGATCAGGGCTGTGTAGAGTATGCAAGACTTTCACGGAGCCGCGCAAAAACTCGTCAGAAATTTCTAACAATAAAAGCAAATCAAGACTGGGGAGCTTCCTGATCTGGATGAATTGCATCAGGTCCACCTCCGTGACCTGGCTAATGTCTGATACAACAATGACCACTTCGCCTGACTTCATCATGCCCGGCTTCAGGAGGAGTGCAAGGGTCAGCCGCAGGTTCATCTCCATGTCCTCAGAGAAGTCGAGAAGGGGTGAGGCCCCAACGCAGCTTCAGGCGCTGCAGGGAAGACAATAAGAGGTCAATCTCTACCCAAACTAAACCAGTGCTTCTTTGCTACGCACCTTCTGATTGAGTAGGACTTGGAAGTGCTGGAAGTTGTATAACCTATATGATTATTTGCAGAACTGCAACCAACCATGGAAGGACGAGGCCCCAGTACAGGCTCCAGCACCGCAGGATCTGCATCAACAGGTCGAATGTCTTTCTCTAACCGGGCCGTGTATCTGAATTTTGCAAGGTTTAGGAGGAGAAGGCGCACAGACTCTACTGTCACAGGTCGAGCGAGATCAGACTGATTGCATCAAACGATGGCCCATCACAGGTGTAGGTGCTGTAGGGAGTTAGTCTGCGAACAAGCAATCGAAGCGGGATGGTGTGTCTCAGACTACGAACAAAAGCCAGTCGCAACGGTCTCCAACGCTTCTGCCACGTGGACCGGGAAAAAATATCGGTCCCAATACTTAAGCATTTTGAATTCTGATATGCGATTTGTTTCCGCGGATCTGGGCGAGGTTGAGACCATGTCGAGCTTCAGGATCGGCAGATGGGGCTAGTAGATGGTTCCAAGTGCACAGAGTTGATGACAATGTTGACGAGAGTTGAAATGATGTAACTACGGACCAATCTTTTCACCAAGCATGTCGTGCGTAACAGGCGGAGAAAACGGGAGCGAGCTCACCA